GAACTATTTTTTAAGTTGCATATAACTCACACACAGAAAACAATAAAAAATAACAAATTTTTCATTAAATTAGAAAGGATCATTTTGTTTTTGAACTTTTTATTCTATCTTTGTAATAAAACACCGTGGCACCAAAGGAAAAAAATTCTTTTATAGTGTGGCAGTCAATGTCTTAAATAGACATTTCTCCAAAGAAGATAAATGGCCATCAAGTGCATAAGATCAATTATTAGAGAAATGCGAATCAAACTACAATTTGATAGCACTTCCCACACATTAAGATGACTGATATAAATAAGAAAAAAAATGTTGGTGAGGATGTGGCAAAATTGGAATATTCATGCATTGTTGGTGAGATTGTGAAATGGTATAACTGCTGTGGAAACCAGTTTGGCAATTTCTCAAATAGTTTACCATACAATTATACCATATTACCCAGCAATTCCACTCCTAGGTATTAGTATATACCCAAGAGAACTGAAAGCAGGTACTAAAACAAATACTTGTACACAAATGTTCACAGCAGCACTATTCACCAAATCAACAGTTGGAAACATCTCAAATCTCTATGTACTGATGAATAGATAAACAAAATGTAACATATATACATATTAAATACACACATATTACTTTATTCCTTAAAAAGGAATGAAGTACTGATACATGCTACACTGTGGCTGAATGTCCAAAATATTATGCCAAGTGAAAAAAATCACATATTGTATGATTTCATTTATATGAAATATCTAGAAGAGGAAATCCATAGAGACAGAAAGTGTTGGCCAAGCGCTGGGGAAAGAGATTAGGGAGAGAGAGCCTAACAGGTATGGGGCTTTCTTTTGGGATGATGAAAATGTTTTAGAACTAGATAGAGGTGGTAGTTGTACAACATCATGAAAAAATGCCACTGAACTATGCACTTTAAAATGGTTAATTTTAAATTATGTGAATTTTACCCTAAAAAAATTGAAGAAAATATTTGGGTCACTAAAGCAAGATTTCTAATTCTTTCATTCCTTCCAGCTACCCTACTATATTATATTTATATCATTTAGAAATACTACTTCATTTTCCATTTTAATAGCCTGCCTCATCCAGTTGCAAATTTTGCCTAAGACTAGATTTTTCTCACCTCTTTCCATGACAAAAATATTCCCTTAGAAAATTAAATCTGGGACTTTAAATTGTTTCATGTATATTCTTACTCAAAGTCTGCTGGTAGAGTTGGGACCATCTCAGATTCACAATCTGGCTGTCAGGAACAGGTTTTGCTTCTCTTCCCCCTCCCCTGCTCTGCGGTCTCCCTCCGGCGTCCACCAGCAGGCAGTAGCTAAAATTATTAATAGCTGAGTTCCCCCTCTATGGCACTGCAGGCTGGGACCCACACTGCACTCTCTGTTCAGTTCTGCCCACACAGGGTCCCTCTCCTCCCAAGGTTAGTTCACAAGTCTCCCCTCCGTGCCCTCAAGCAACACAACTGAGTCCTGGGGTTATGGGTTCTGGGGTGCGGGCCGACCCAGGGTCCCTTAAGATCAATCCTTACCATGCCAGCTAGAAGTGTGCTGGTCCCGAGTTCTCTACGGGGTGCTCAAGCAGGTTTGATGACCTTCCACTTCGGGGTGTGCCCTGCTTTTATGGAGCAGCCAGGCAAGCAGCAGTGAGCTCACAGTCCGAGCACTGCTTAGGCCTCAGCAGGTCTGTAAGAGGAAAGGTTTGAGCCCCTCCTTCTGGGGAAGCCCTGGTGTGGTGCATGCACCAAAGCGGGGACGCAGCAGCTCCTGAGCGCCCAGCTCAATCATCTCTCTCAGCAGCCACCGGCAGGGGTGGGGGAGGGAGGAACAGAGTCTGCATGGAGGAAGGCTAGCACTCGGGCTGTCTGTCCCTTTCTCTGGAAGGCAGACCATCCAGAATGTCCAGGCTCTGGGGTCACACAGATCCCCCTAGACCCACCGGCCCTCTGTGGCTCCCACAGTCTGGGCCTGAGTTGGGAAATGTCTGTGTGGGAACCAGCAAGGTGAAAACTGAGGGGCTGAAGCCCTCCGCGGAGGACAAAGGCATACCGTGGGTAGAGATGCAATATGGCGCCCGCCGTCTTGGCTCTGGTCTGTTGCGACAGGAAGCGCCCCGTGGGGGCTGGCAGTTGTTGCTTTGTCCTCAAGAAGCTCCCAGTTTACTGGTAGCAGCAGCTTTTGAGTTCATGAGGGTAGAAAGGCTCTCCAGCGTCTCGGGAGCCTGCTGACTGCCAGCGATGTGAGACAGGGAGAAACAAACCGCTCCACCTACCCTTTTTGCGGGACTCCAAGCCTCTCAGGGGTTGTCCTCTGATACCGTGCTCCTCTTTGTTCTGGTACGTGACTTCTTCCCATGGAATCTCTTTTCCCTCAGCATCACACCCAATCTATGATCGTTTGTTTCTTTCTTTTTCATCTAAAACTTCTCATTCTTTCTGAGACAATCTGGCAGCTGGTGTCTCTGGTCAGCCATCTTGTCTCCCCCTCCAAAACTGGCACTTATCCTTAAGGTTAACTGTAAACAACCTAAAACGGCTTATAATGAAATGTTAAAATGCCTGGTAAGAGTTCAAAGTGCTGTAAAAAGGAGACACGATTGAATAGCTGTCTGTGTTTTCCAGTTTAGAGTCAAGTGATTGAAGTACAAATACCCAGTAGGTAAGAGCCTTGTCTTCTGAAGCTTAAACAGAACTCTTATAGCGACCCTCCATTCTCCATCACACTTGTAAGTTTACCTTTGTCCTCCACCCCTTATGTGCTTTTATACTTATCAAAGTTACTATTCCTCTAAACATTGGACTCCTTTATAGTCTTAAATATTTCACATATATGTGCACCAAGGTATATAAGCCTTATAATAAAACTATGGAAATTTCTCAACCATACAGATCAGAGTCTATGTGAATGAACTGTTCATGTCTATATATTTTAGTTTTCTCATCTGTAAAGCGAGATTAATAGGGTTGTAATAGAATTATATTATTTCCTAAAGCATTTACAATACCAGCCACATTATAAGCTCTCAGTAAAAGTTGGCTAACTTTCTAACATACCTAAAATAGCATAATGCATAATTGTTACTTTTTTTTTTTTGGTACCAACAGGTAGAATTAGGCCTATCTTACTGCTTAGCTTGTCCACTATTCAAATTCAAAGTTGACATAAACAGGACTTTGTATAAGACCTTGAACCAGGCTTAAGAAGTCATTCCTCCTGCCTTATGAAATGTTCTGTTGCAATTTTTTTAATGATAATAGGAGCTATGACTAGAAATCTATCCCTTTCTTATATTCTATCTAGCTAGAAATGTTCATAAAATAATATATAAGTACAACATAGAATTCATTTGTTATTAAATTCGTTGCACAGACTAGGAGATGGCACAACACATTACAACACTGTGAGGGAAGAAATTTATTTTGTTCTAGTGTTAAAAAAACAAAAACAAATTAACTGTCAATATCACCAAAAGATAAATACCATTTCTATAATTTAGAGTAAGAACAAAGCACACAGGCCATAAGAAATGATAACCAAAATTCTGATGACATCAGCTGCCAAATGAAATATTTAATTGATACTTTCAGTAATGATCAGTAAAACGAAAAGATTTCGCTTCTGAGATATATATGTGGTTCTGTAACTGTTTGGAACGCTTAGCTTCTAGTCGAAGCTGTCTAGTTCTCTCTTTGGCAACTTGTTGCTCTGCGATTTTCTCTATCCGTTTCTTTCTTAGCCATCTGTAGAAAGAAGAATGATCAGATTTGGTGAGTATCAACCTGATGCACTCTTCATGCTATAAAGTTACTACTGTAGCAATCAAAGGGAATGGACATATAATATCTTTACAATGAAATACTGTCACAACACAAATTTTTTCAGTAGTAACTGAAAAATTTCAACCTTATACCCCAGGCTCCTACAAGAAATTACAGTTACATTTGGGATCAAATGTTTGAAATTAAGTTTATCTTGTGATGAAACTGCCCACTTAATTGGCTTTTTAGTAATAAACACAATATTTTACATGTGCTATAGATCCTATACTTTTTTTTAAGAAATATGATTTCCTAAGCAAATAACTACTTGGTATATTCCAAATAACTTAATCTTCGCAACTAGCTGTATTCTAAAATATTACTTAGCCAGGTTAAGAATACTAATATGCAGAAATGGTATCTTACTCTCCTTGATAGAAAAATTATAGAGCTCTTGCTTTTCAGTACGTAAAATAGTTCGTTCTTAAAATGGAAAAATAAGCCTAAACATGAAAACATCAAAAGAGGTAAAGGAAAAGTCTGCATTCTAACAAATTCAAGTCTATAAAACTTGCGTAATTAAAATAACATCAAAACAACTGTGTACACACATATAGCTGGTATATAAGTATGTATATGGTGCGTGTGTATACATATATATTAATATTTAGTTTTTTAAAGAAATCTAAACAACTAAATAACTATTAGTAGTTATTTAGTTGTTATTTAGTAGTTATTTAGTTATCTAATAACTATTAGAATAAAAGGGACTTAAGAAACATCGTAACCCAATGTTGTATGATTCTCAATTTGACGCTAGTTTAAGGAAGTCAGCTGCAAGTCATTTACGGGTCAGTTGGGGAAAAAGTGGAGGTAGGCTGGATATTAGATGAGATCGTTAACAAAAATAAGCAGATTGCAGAATAGTATATACAGTATGATCTCAATTTGGATTTTAAAATTATAAATATACGTACAGAGAAATATCTAGAAAATATGCACTCTGGTGCTAACAGTCCTCACCCATGATTTCTGGGTGATGAAAATGTAACTTTAAACTCCATTTCCACAATTCACATCTACTGTTTCTGTTATAATAAAAGGTTATGTAAAAAAGAGAAAAAAGAAAAGAAGGATAGACAGCAAAAAAGACAAAGAAAGAAATGAACTTCAAACAACTGAAATCAATATTCACTCTCTCCCTCAACTTTCCCCCAAGGCTTGCTACCAAAGTTATGAAGCTAGGTCTGTATTCTCAGAATTAGCAAGGTAATGCAGTCTTCGCTAGACAACTTTAAAAAGATCAGGTTTGCCTTCAATTAATAAAACATGTACCCAAATCTCTTTTTCATTTGATCTATACGGATTTTCCTCCTCAGCCAACCTGCCTTTCTTTACAGAAAAACATTCATTGGTAAATGCAACTCTTTATTCAGTTTTTTAGAGGGCTATGTAGGAGAAGCTATAACCAATCTTTGACCCATTTCTCTCAGAAATACACAATTAAACAAATAAATGGATATCACACTACTGCCATAAGAAATAATTTTAGTATTAAAAAGTAACCTGAAGAAAAAGTGGTATACATATATAAATTATCGATTTAAAGAATTACACATTTTTAAAAAACATGAATTTGAAATTGAATAAGTATGAGAAAACATTTTGGTTTTTGTTTTTTGGTCAATCTTTATTGATCATATAACTTCCTAAAATGACCATGAGGAAGAGCGACCAATGTTCTTCCTTTAACTTACTGTTTAAAGGCCCTTTCACGGCCTTCTGTTCCTTTAAGGAAGAATAAGCATTCCTCTTGCTTTCTTAGTTCTTCTGTCTTTCTTTCTTTCATCTGTTCTTCATGCTTTTTTTTAAGCCATAATCGAAAAGCTTGTTGTGGATCTCTGTTTTCCTGCTGATTAGAAAAACAAGCTTTGCTTACTTTTGATAAACCAAAACTACTTCTAAAGGCCCTGCCTATGGGATTCTACAAGAATACATATTCCTCTCTTCAATTTTTCATAATGATGCCAACCTCATTACCCGCATTCCTAGTATCCAAACCCTCAAATCAGTAATACTGATTACTCTCTGTCAGAAAATTCAACATTGAACTCATTGCCATCTATTTGCTTTCAAAAGTCTTACTGAGGTAATCAATACATGAAGAAAGTGTAAAAGCAATGATTTTCAAAATTTTCAACATTGAACCCTTTGTCAAATCAAATCATTTTGCACAATGGTACAAACATATAAAACAAAGGATTGAGGAAGGGTTGGGGATAGGCAGTATAAGTGGGCCTGTCTTTGTGGCAGTTCCTGCAGGAGCTCCATGGAATACAGTTTGCAAATAAATGATCCAACATTTGTGTAATTCATCCTTTCTTTTAAATTCTAACTTTTTTTCCCCAAGTGTTAAGAGCGTAAGAATCAACTGCTAAGTGCATCTTCAAAACTGTAATTACTATTATGGAGAATAGCCATGAGGATTTTCAATCATAAGAATTTTCTCATAGAGATAACAGCCATGAGAATTTTGACATAAGAAAAAGCTAGTAGGAGTAGCTTATTTCACAGTCCCTCAAACTTCATGATGGATATTCAGGGAATTTTCAAAAGTTAAAGAACTATTATTTGGGAGAATAAAGGAGAGAAAGAGGACAAATTTGGGACTCTAAACTTGGGAAAAGTGTGATATTATGCAGATGCCTGGCTAGAACACAGAAGGAAAGGATGCACTCATTTACTATTTTCCCCAAATATAAGCTCTGTGATAAAGAAGACTGTTTCCTACATATTGCATTTTCCCTTATCTGTGAAACACATTGCCAGATATGCTCCAGTCTAATTTATAAGATTTATGTAATTCAAGATACTTGATGCACAACCGAACTTCATGGAGAGGACTCCTTGATCTAAAGGATCATTGCCGAACACCTGGAAGTCTGGGAATGGCTAGAGATGACGAAGTGTTCAATCTGGAATAATAGATCAAAGGAGTCCAGGTACAAAGTTATACTTAGATAAGAGGAATAAGTTCTAGTGTTCTATTGCACAGTAGGGTGACTATAGTTAACAATAATGTATATTTCAAAATAAGTAGAAGATATTGAATATTCTCACCACAAAGAAATGACAAGTGTCTGCGGTGATAGATATGCCAATTACCCTGATTGATTTGATCATTACACAATGTATACATGTATCAAAACATCACACTGTACCCCATAAACATGTACAATTATTGTGTCAATTAAAAACAAAGTAAAACTTTTAAAAATTTAAAGTTTTAAAAATTTTTAGAAGAGTCAAGGATTCAAGGATGAACAGGATTAATGGGTATTCCTGTTCTTTCATTCATTCAACAGGTGTTTATAGAGTATTTACTATATGGCAGGCACATAAGGACTGGGTTGTATTAATGGATAAAAATAAGTTCCCCTCTCTCATACATTCTATGCCTGTACTGTACAATACAGTAGCCACTATGTGTGGCTATTTAAATAAAATTAAAAATTCAGTGTCTCAGTCACACTAGGTACATTTCAGGTGCTTAATAGCCACTCATGGCTAGTAGCTACTGTCTTGGACAGCACAGATATAGAACATTTCCATCATCACAGGAAAGTTCTATTGGGCATTATTGTTCTACAAATAGAGGAAAAAAATAGAGGATTAACTGATTGACAGATATGTCAGATTCCAAAGAAAAGTATGGGAAGGAGAGAGTAATAAAAGGGGAGGTGAAGAGAAAGGATGATATTTAAATAGAAAGTAAGGGAGTAAGTTATGAAATATCTGGAGAAAAAGTATTTCAAGCAATGGTAACAGTAAAAGCAAAGAAGCTGAGAAGTGATTGTATTTGGCATGTTTGCTAAATAGCAAAGAAGTCAAAGTAAAGCTGTAGCA